TCATTCTAGAAATAATAAAGAGTAAACCTTAGTTGCTCTCAAATATAATCAACTCTTTATTGTGATATCACTATTGTCAAAGGTTTTGGTAAAATTCAATGGTATATATTTTAAGCCAAATATCCACATTTGACAATGAGAGAGAATTAAAAGTCAGGGGTGTCCTTCCATATTAATGTAACACAACTGGTAAATATTAGCAAAGCTGTACTCAGCAGGTACTTCTGGTATACAGAGAACGAAAGTACAGAATAATTTATGCTTCTAGTTCTTGTCAGAAATTATCTTAAATGTATTTCAAATAATGCAAAAAAAATACATGTACTCAATATAAAAACTGAGACCCAAGTTACAGCTCACTGGATTTTCTACAGGACTTATTTCAGAAGAGCAGCAGAAGATTCTGGTTAACAACAGTAGCGACAAAAATAGCCAAGAAGAGGACTCCATTGGTTTTATCAAAAAAGATAACCACTGTTTCTTCCTAAAAGTTTTTTCTTCATGGCCATAGCAGAGGCAGCCACCGCTTGTCCCGCAGAAGCTGTGTCTCACTTTCCTGTGGAGGTGGGTAAGACAGCAATGGCCTTCGTGCAGCCTTTAAGCTTCTCCAAAGGTGGCACTCTCCTGGCCCACATGCAAACAAATTCCAAGCCCAGGCACTCAATAGCTAGACTGTGCGATGCTCCTCCCATTCAATCGCCCACTGTGCCAGCCACTATGACTTTTAATATCACTTTTATTTAGGTGTATATTTGCCCAGACGTGAGAGGCAATTACTGTTGAAAGAAATGTTTTAAGATCACCACCTACCAATTAGTCAGAATTGTTATAAGGAATTAAAAAATAACTAACACATTAGGCCTTCTACATACACAGTGCCAACAGTGTGTGCGAATAAGCCACAATCGAACTCTAGGTGGCGACAAGACCCAATATGCTAGAACATTGGACATTCGTGAGGTATTTATAAAGCAAGGCTGACTCTGGGGCTAACCAAACAAGGCATCCACGGGCTTCTAGCATTTCTGATTGAGGTCCAAGAACTGCAGTCAGATTCAGGTTTTGCCTAAACTTGATTTCCAGGACCAATCTGAATTAAACCAGGGATAGTTCCTAAAATTTAGTTCTTTGAAACACTGCATCTAGAAAGTGTCCTCTTCTAAGCAAATCTGGAGGACCACACCCGTCATATTTCAAATGTTATTAATTCAGGGTTTAATAAAACCCACGGCTTCCTCTACTCGTGTGCAGTAATGAGTACCTAAGGAATGTCTATGAGGCTTTATAAAGCTCAAGTCTCTCACAGCTGACTGGGGAGAGCAGGACTGCATAAAAACATGATGGCGCGTGAAGGGAAACCTTTACTCCTGTTAGCCTGAGTCATAACTCCCAATTTCAGTCATACATGCTGTTGAAGACAAAGGCTAGGTAAAAAGAAGCTCTAAGTACGGAGGCCAAAAGGCTGCCTTCGAGTCTGCTGAAGGCATGTTCTCTAATGAAGGTAAGGCCCATACATTTATTTCATCATTCTTATGTATCGATCATTTTCTTTCCTTACCAAAGGAACCCTGCCAACTAGTAAAGATTCCGTTTCATTATACAGCGCCTTGACGTTGATGGCTATTTCAGTGGCGGTGTCTCTCGTAAGACTCTAGAAAAGAAGAATATCAAGGACATGTGATTCTATATTAAATTTGGATCCCATCATTAGTAAATGCTTTCAATTTTATTCTCACAATTTAAATTCATAGCACAAATATTTTTAAAATTTACCAAAATTCTACAATTGCAAAATTCCATACTCACATTTATTAGTATGATTATCTCTTCTAATCATTATATCACGGAACTAAAAGAATGCTCTGACTGCAGTGAATACACTCAGGATCACACCTCCTACCACAAATACGTATATGCTAACACCAGCTTGTATCTATTTCTATAAAAAAGCTAAGTCAAAGAAAATGATATATTAAAAGGGGCATTATATGATTATAATTCTAACTACTGATTTTCACTCTCAGTAGCTCCAATCAGATTGCTTTTTATTGTTATTTTTTAATTTTTTTTTGAGACAGGATCTTGCTTTGTTGCCCTGGCTAGAGTGCAGTATCATCACAGCTCACTGCGACCAACTCCTTGGGCCCAAGAGATCCACCTGCCTCAGCCTCCCCAGTAGCTCTAACTATAAGTGTGCACCACCATGC